TAAAACGTCCATTATTGCTCGGGTAGAATGTTTTGAAAAATTCCATCTTCCGACACGTTAAAAATATTTTAAAAGCCGAAAGTTGCGTAGATGCGAAATTTTATTATGAAATGTTGTCGTCCAAAAATTTTCTTGCTACACACATTTCGCTGAATAATAAATATTTGTATTAAAATTGCATGGTTTTTTTTTTTTTTTACTTTTGGGCGTGTAAAAATTATATTTCACAAGCCAGAAGAATAGAATGTGGTTGAAGAATAATTCGATAGACTATCGGTTCAAGTTAGAAAACTGAAAGCTTTCCAAATAAAACGGTTTATTTTTACAATAATTCTCGAAAGTATCATCTTTCGCAAGGCGTTAAATCATTATTAATTTTATCCAGAAAGTTTCTGATTAATTTTATTTTCTTAACATCTTGTTTTGAAGTTAGTTACAATTCATGGAGTTACGGTCATGGAGTTACTTTTTAAAGTTTTAAACTAGTGTGTCAAACACGAAGTTGGGAGGACAGCTTTCAAACAATTGCCTCCTCAACTTTACACAACTCCTGCTTGATAAGACCAAGTTGTTGAAAGCATATAGAATTCTGTAAATAAATTAGTGTCAGACCTAGCTACCTCCATAAAATCAATATCGTGTCGGATATTCAACGATTGTTACGTCGAGGAAAATTACCCGAAATTGTCATTTTCCAAAAATTAGCACCGATTTCCAAATTTTCTTCTCCCTCGTTTCTCAAATTCCCATTAAATAACTATTCAAAAGATTCATCAATTTCTCTATCTCGAATTTACATTTACATTCTTCGATAACAAAATTTCGAAACGATCTATATATAATAACGATTGAGAAGATTCGTTTTCAATTCATTTTCTGTTGCAAATAGAATCTTCAAAATGCTACGTTCAATCAAATTTTCCTGTTACTATATATATAAATAAAAGTACCGAAAAGGTCTGGAAAAAAACGTTCAATATTGAACCTCGAATCGTAAAACGAACGAGGACACGGTTGAATTAACGTTTTGAATCATTAGACGATTGTCGCGTGAATTATTCGAGGAAAACGTGGATTCTCGCCGCTGTTTCGCCGAATCAAACGATGATACGACGTTAATGAACGCGGCGCGGTTAATAACGTATAATTCATAGACGGAAACGCAACAACGTTTCGGCACAGTTGGCTTCCCCAAAAGCTTCGCCCACGCTTCATTATTTCTGTTTTACGCCCGCGGACTGTTCGACGATCACAATTTTCGCGCGGAACGAAATTTCACCCCTCTAATTTGATCGAATATCCGCCAACCAGGATTTCATTAGCTACGATTAACGTTCACACAATGGGAAATGGAAACAGTTTTTATATATATATATGTGCATATACACGTGTGCGATGGAATCTCTATATTCGAGTTCGATATTCGTTACGTTTTTTTTTCTTTCCTTTTTTTTTCATCTTCGTTCAAAAGTCCATTATTCGTCACCAAAAAAATTCCACCACTCACTTTTCGCCACCGCAGCTTTTCAATAAGTTCGATCTGATTCGATTAAAATTTTATTTATCCGAGACCCCGATTCCAGAACCAATTATT